TTAATGTAGAAGCTGCTAAGTCCTGTGTGATTCTGACTGTGACTCCTTGATATTTGAATTGTTTCTTTTTCCACCAGTATTTCTGTTTTCACACTTGTCTGACCATGTACATTTAGAAAGAAATCTCTTAAGAGTATCTCTGTTATTATTTTGTTTTTGTAGTTATTGTCATATTCCTGGTTCCTCTATTTATTCAACCTTCTTTTATTTTTGTTGTTGGAGGTATTTGAGAAACAAATAATCTCTTTAGATTTGGTTTTATTTTTTAGAATGTTTCAAATGCCTCTTTATTATTGAATATCCATTTTTTAAAATAATTAGGCTCAGATTTGCTGGTTAAGTCATTTTGGGCTTTGTCTTGAATTCCTATGCTCTTCAGAATACTTTATTGCATCCCCTCCCCTTTTCTGGTGATTTCAGAATAATATTATGTTATTCAAAGATATTTTTTCCTGATCACTTTCAGAATTTATTGTTTCACAATGAACTTGTTAAATTTAATCACTATATGTCTTGGAGTTTGCAGCCTCAGGTTTTTGTTTTGCTTTGTTTTCCTGCAGACAACCTATAGATTCTTTCAACTGACAGTTTTATTTGTGCTCAGAAATTATGGGAAGTTTGTTTATATTACTTGTTTCAGTATAATATTCTGGGCTTTTTTTTTATTTGTCATGTCTTTCCAGGAAACTTATAATCCTTAAGTTATCTCCATACATCTGGTCTTTGAGACTAATATGTTTGCTTATGTGGAGAGCATGTCTCCTCTGGGCTTACTTCCCTCATTACATATGTCTCATGGTATAGATGATATTCCACATCTATGCCTCCTTAGCCTCTAAAATGAAGGCAGAGAGATTCATTATCTCAATTCTTTTCTGGGACATTTGCTTGTTTATTGTGATAATGCATCATTCACATTTATTTTGCTGTTCTTGTCATTTTCATTGCCGTCATGTAGATTGCTTCCTTAGTTCTGCTCACTTTACTCTGCATTCATTCATATAAATCTTTCCAGGCTTCTCTGAATCCTTGATATGTATAGTTTCTTATAGCAAAGCAACACTCCATTACATTTGTGGGCTACAACTTGCCTTGTGATTCCCCAGAGGATGAACTATTTCCTTTGCTTCCACAAAAGTGCTGTTATCAATATTTTGTAGTATATGGGGGATTTCTTTCTGTCTTTGCCCTCTGTGGGACATACGAGTATGGATGTTATCATCACTTTAAAAAAATTTTTTTTTAGGCAATTGGGGTTAAGTGACTTGCCCAGAGTCACACAGCTAGTAAGTGTCAAGTGTTTGGTCTGAGACTGGATTTGAACTCAGGTACTCCTGACTTCAGAGTGGGTGCTCTATCCATTGCACCACTTAGCTGCCCCATTTTAGTCACTTTTTAAGAAAACATAATTCTGAATTGCTTTCAGAATCAACCATTTCCTTTATACAAATAAGAAAGTAGGGGGCTCAGAATGGCCCAAGGTCAAAGTCACATGGTCAGTTAGTGTCAGGGCAGGGACCCCAACTTAGGCCCAGTGACTCTTAACCTAATAAGGCTCTTACTCGCATGCCAAACTGTCTCCCAGGAAGGAGAAGAATGGTCCATTGATGACAGAAACAAAGCCACCACATGGGGGTAACAAATTACCTTGACTTCGACTTCTGCTATTATTGTAAGTCAGCAAAAGTCCAATGGTAAGGGATTTACCTTTTGGACAACCGTAAGCTCATTTTTCTTCTGTGGTGAGTCTAAGCTCTTAGAGTATTTCCATAGGGCTAAAGGCCTACAAACACTGTTGGGGTACAAGTGGAACTCATTGGAATGTTGGGAGGATTACTGCTCCAGTGACACCAAGTTCATTTCCTTTTCAGGGGAAGTTCAAACCACAAGGCAGTGCTGTGAGCCTAGAGTTCTCTATAAGGCCCTGTGGGGTATGTAGGATTCATTAGACATGGTGAAAAATTGTCTTGATTATGTGGGGGCTAATTTGAATCGTTTCTGCTTTCTGTACATTATGTGGAATGAAATAAATGCTATCTTTTACCAGGTATGTATTTTTACTTGAGTGTTTGTACAGGGACTGGGAATTCTTTCCCCATAATCATGAGCTCTACAGAAGATATATTCTGATGTTTCCAGAAGAAACTTTGATGGGAGGCAAAATGAGTCATAGAGAATAACTATTTTGGAGGAGCTCCCAAGATTGGACTCAGTCCATAGAAGTCCAGAACTTATTATACTGTTATGCCAAGAAGTAAACACTGCTTCAGGAGTGGTCTGAGTAGGGTAGAATACAAAGTATCTCCACCCTAGTTCTGGACGCTGTGTCTTTGCTAATGCTACCTGAGTCTTACTTAGCTCCTTTGGGGCTTCCATAACACCTTGTTGGCTTATTTGAAACTTGCACTGATCCCTTCTGATCTTTTCCACACGAACTGCCATGTAAACCTTATTCTGTTTTTACAGAACTATTTTCTAAAAATAAAATTACAGGATTTAATATTTCAATATTTCTCACTATTAAATCTAATTTTGTCATAGGTTCATCCCATCATTTCAACTAGTCAAAGTTTTTTGGATCCCCACTCTGTTATCCAATTGGTTAGTTCTCCATCCAGGATTTGTGTCCTCTGCAAATCTGAGGTCTCCTATGCCATCATCCAAATCACTAATAAACATGTTGAATAATACAGTGACAAGAACAGAACCCCAGGACAGTACAATGCAGACTTCCCTTTAAGTTGCCTTGTACCTATGAATACTAATTCATTGGGTCCAAGCATTCAGACGGTCACAGGATTACAGATTTAGAGCTATACAGGACCTATGAGGTCATTTAATCCAACTCTTTACTTTTACAGATGAAGAGACTGAGGCCCAGAGAGAAGAAGTGACTTAACCAGGGTCAGTTGCCTAGCAAATGTTAGAGGGGATGGGGATGGGACCTGGACTCCTAAAAGCCCCTGAAACTTTCCCACACAACCAGGTGTTTGCCTGAGGCACCTGGCACTTCCCAGTCAATAATCCTTTTATCTGCTTTTTCATTATGGCCCTCCTTGTCTGCACCTGGCCCACCCCGGGCTACTTGCCAACCCTAGATCCCATCCAGAACTTCCCACAGTCTTTCTGTATAAAAACGTCCATCTTGCCCCCATTAAATTGCTCAGATTCTTATGATCTGGCCTGCTTGTACTGGCATCACAAGATAGCCCAAATTCTTAAAATCCCACCTGCTTCTCTTGGTGACACAAAAACCTTATCTCTGACCGAAAGAAGGCTTGAGTGGTCAAATTCTTTTGAGGCAGACCTGCACCCTTTGCCCTGTCATTTTGGGGTTCTTAGCACCCTTAGACTGCAACAGAAGGAACATTGAAACTCTGGTCTTCCAGACTCCAAGTCCTATGCTCAACCCCACTGCATCACACTGCCTCTCACCTACAACTGAGTCTATCTGACTGCTATCTTCTAGTCCACATCTCTCTTTCTTCATATTCTCCCCTACCTAGAATCATCCCCTCATCCTTCTTACTGCTGTGTACAACCTGACTGGCCCCTTTGTTGTTGTTCAGTTGTTTTCAGTTGTGTCTAACTCTTGATGATCCTATTTGGGGTTTTCTCGGTAAAGATGCTGGAATGGTTGTCATTTCCTTCTCCAGCTCGTGTTACAGATGAGGAACTGAGGCAAACGGGGTGAAGCGACTTGCCCAGGGACACACGACACAGCTAGTGTCTGAGGTCAGATTTTGATTCAGGAAAATGAGACTTCAGGTCTGGTACTCTATCCATTTTGCTACCTAGCTGACCACCTTACGTAAATACCTTCCCCTCTCTTGGCCTCAGTTTTTCTATCTATATATAAAAGGACTGGTTATTCTTTGAGTGATCAGATTTTTGTCGATAAACATTTATGACCTACATCTTCCTCCCAAAGGAATCTGTTCCATAATAGGAGAGCTGGAGAGAGACACACAGAGACACAGGAATAGAGACAGAGAAATAGTCATAGGGAGACAGACATAGGGAAAGGGAGAGACAGAGAAAGAGACAGAAGCAGAGAAACATTCATGGATAGTGAGACACAGACACAGAGGAAAGAGCCAGGGACACAAAGACAGACCACAGAGTGACAGAGGCAGAGAGACAAAGAGAGACAGAGATTGAGCTAGAACTGGCCACAAGTGGGTGGTATGACGCAAGGCAAAACTCTCATTTGTAAACTATGAAACTTCCAGTCTCAGTTTTTTCTTGACTCTCTGTACAACCTGGAATAAATCCCTTCCCCACCGTCACGTTATCTGTAACCTGAAAAGAGTGTATTCGATGACATCCAAGCTGTGTTCCAGCTTCCAGGAGCCAAACAGAGTAACAGAAAGAGATGCCTAGGGGCTCAGGCTTTATTAATACATCCTAATCCACCCCACCCAGGAGTCCTGCAGGCTCCTCCTGTTTCTGTTGCAGCTGCCTGGGCTCACCCTCACCCTCTTGGCAGGAATGAGATGGTGTAGCTGCGGGGGATGGTGGCAAAGCCCACCATCTCGGGGGAGATATCGATGGCCTCTTTCGGGAGTGGAGACTGGAAGTGAAAGTTCTGCAGGATGGTGGTGAGGAAGACGAACAGCTGCACTCTGGCCAAGTTTTCACCAAAACAGTAGCGTTTGCCTGAGGAGCCAGAGTCAGAACTGGTTAGGGCGCACAAGGCTCTTGCTGGGAGCGGCCTTAGAGGACAGAATGTCAGTGTTGGGGTCTCCCAGGGGCTAAGGACCCTTCCTTAGAAGAGAGAATATCAGAGCTGGGAGGAAACTAGAAGCACAATGGACAATTGGCAGGTAGTGAATTTGATATTGACTAAATAACTGTATAACTTTGGATACACCACTTTCCCTCTCTCAACTTCAAAATGAGAGGTTTGGACTCTATGGCCCCTAAAGTAACTTCCAGCCTTAAGTCTGTAGTCCCTCAGGACAAAAAAAAGTGCCACACCTGGAAGGGACCTTAAAATATAGAAAAATCATAGCTGGGAGGGTTCTTATGATAGAAAATGTCAGCATTGGTAGATAACTTAGAAAAAGACAAGTAGCACAGAACATGCTTGGGTCTTATGCCACAAAAGACTTCCTCCAGGAGGTGCTCATCTGTAGCAAGTAAAGATTCTTGAAACTTCCTACTTTGTCTAATTCTTCTTGGTGATTAGCCGATATGCTTTTGCTGTTTTTAAGCACAAGTGCTATTAATGTCTACTGAGTTCACAGGGTTTCAGAGGTAGAAGGGCCCTTGTAACCTGGAGTTGCTCTTTTCCCTCAATTTTCCTACTCCTTCTTCTCAGTAGATTCCTTTGCCTCCTTTAAAAAGAAAATGCAAGCCATCCCTTATGAGATCTCTCTCTTCTAACCGATGGAACATTTTAAAAGCTATCTATACTATCCTCTATTCTCTCTGTCTTTGGACCATGGTCTGTCAAAGGAGTGGCCCTCCGTTCTTCCTGTTCCCTTGGTCTCATCCCTCCCAATCTTATAGAATTCACCATCTGGTTTTCTACATTCTAAACAAATTGTTATAGTTGCTGTTGTCTAAATTGATCATTCAATTTTCATAGTGGAAACCCCTAAACTAGAGTGCCCTTGCTCCTCCCCCCTGCTTTTAGGTGTCTTAATTTCCTTCAAAGTAAGCTTTGGTACCACCTCATACAGGAAGCCTTTCCTGATTCTCCTAGTGGTCAGTGCTCTCCATTTGCAAATTATCTTGTAATTATTTCTCTTATCTACCTAAACTTGGCCCCCTCCAGTAGAATATAACTTTTTGAGGGCAGGGACTGTTTTCCTAGTGATTGCCCCCACCACCTCATAAGTACTTATTGGATTGAATGTTAGAATTGAGAAGGACCTTAAATGTTACTTAGTCCAACCTCCTCATTTTACAAATGAGGAAACTGAGGCCCAGAGAAGGGAAGGTTCAAGGGACCTCAGACACCCTTGAGTCTCAGACCTGAATTTTACAGATGACAAAACTGAGGCCTAGGGAGATGCAATGATTTGTCCAATGTCACCCAGGTAGGAAGCTTTAAAGATGGGACTTGATCTAGGGCTTCTGACTCCAGGGCCAGGGCTCTTTCTAGTGTATGTACTTCTTCCTTAAATAAGGAGGGACACTAGTGAGATTTGGGGGGTATACTTTTTGGAACTCTTGGCCCCACAGCCATGGCTTCTCTGGAATCATCCCACCTTAAGCCCCCTTAAAGAAGCTTTATCAACTGAAATTGACCTGAGGGCCAGCAGGATGAATTGAGGGTAGACTGGAGGAAAGAAAAGGTTCACCAAACTCAGGCCACACTAGTTGGTACTAGAGATGAGAGTGGGAGTCATGGAGGGGAAGAAAAAAAGTTTTCTGCTCACCAATGGAGAAGGGGACAAAGGCATCACTCCTCTTAAATAGGCCCTTTTCATCCAGGAAGTGTTGGGGGTCGAAGGCTTCAGGACATGCAAAGAAGTTGCGGTCTCTCAGTACTGAGCCCAGCATTGGATAAACCTCTGTGCCCTAGAATTGGAGGTGAGAGAGAACAAGAAAGGAAATGAGGGATGAAGTGGAGAGAGGAGGGCAGGAGGAAGGGAGATAAAGATAGGGAGAAAAAAAGAGGAAGAAAAGCTGTGGGAGAGGAGTGAGAGACAGAGAAAGAGAGTGAGAGACAGAGACAGAGAGAGATAGAGGGAGAGATAGAGAGACAGACAGAGAGAGAGCTAAAGAGAGAGAGAGAGAGAATGAAAGAAAATATTTTACTTCATAGAAGATAAGGTTATATAGTAGATTGAAAGCTAGTCTCAGAGGGAAGAAGACCTGGGTTTAAGTTGTCTCCAACACATGCTGGCTATGTGACCTAGGCAAGTCACTTAACCTAAGGACTGTAATTTGCCGAGAAAGTGCCAACCTCAATCAGCAGAAGGAGTTCCCTATGTCAGTGAAATCAGAAGACCAGGCCTTATTCTTGTATTTTGTATCCAATTATACGGGCACAGGTTGTTTGCCCTGATAGAATGTAAGCTCCTTGAGGGCAGAGACTGCCTCATCTTTGTCCTTATATTCCAGTCAAATTCTAGTGTCTTGCTATATAATAAGTCCATAATAAATGTTAGTGATTGAATGGTTGATTGACAGAGAAAATTAATAGTAATTGAATTACATTAACAATAATAATGATATTAACAAGTGTAGTGGGAGGGGGTGTTAGTCAGAACACCCCTAATCAATGGATTTTCCCCTCCCCAGTTCAGTTGCAACAGAAGGATCAAGTCACAAAGACAACCAGGATTTTCACTTTGTTACCCCTTTACGTGTGAAAATATTGTCTTTGCATTTTTTTGAGGCACGGTTTACCTTTGACTGACAGAACAACTATGCCCTTGGTAGCCTATAGAAATGGATCTTCTGTGTTCTGGGACACATTGGAAACAAAAAGCAGCTTCTGGGAGTGTGACCTCTGGCAGTCAAGAGGAGAGACAGCAATGAAGAAACAACCCAGTTATTAAGAATCTTTGCTTTTCCAATTGCACTTCTACCAGAGAGTAAAAGTCGAGGGAAGGAGGGGGAGAGGGAATATCTTTCTCCTCCCTACAACTCCATTGGTCATATTGATTTGCATCAGAACTAAAGACTGAGTAGGAGGCTGGGAGCAGAGAGGATTACACTGAATCCTCAAAGGTAGGAGCTGAGTCAAGCTTCAGAGACAAACAAGTCCAAAGACTCAGTTAGGAGATCTGCTCAGTAGACTCTGTGCCCAGGAGGAGCATCGTGAGGACACCACCAGAAGGGAAAGGACATTGGGGTCCTATAGCCCCAGAGGTGTGAATTGTCCTAGTCAAATGTGGTCTCTGAGCTTGTGCATCTCTCCAAGTGCACTCTTAATTATATGGCCTTTTTTCCC